GAAGGCCACACCTAGGGATAATTTTACTGCGTCAGAGAGGTATATAAAGACATGCTTCGGACTCTCTGCAGACTGTCACACTTTAATTGCTTTTCGATAAAGTTTATTTACTCTGTGACAAACTTTCTGTCTCTGAAGTTTTTGACTTAGGCTAGAAAGGTTGATTTGATTCACAGCAATAGGTAGATTAATGTAGTACAAAGTTAAAGGAGTACAGAAGCAGGATGTTTTAGGCAAAAACGTCATCATCCTTTAATGAAGGAGTCTCCAGTGTCAAACAGAATAAAACATGAGCGGTAACAATAATTACAGTAGCTTCATCGCTCCACCATACTGTCGATTATTTTTAGAACCGCGTGACACTGAGGGTTTAATTCCATCCATCCATCTTCAACCGCTTATTCCTTCTTCAGGATCACGGGGAAACCTGGAGCCTATCCCAGGGAGTATGGAGCACAAGGCGGGGTACACCCTGGACAGGGTGCCAGTCCATCTCAGGGCACACTCACACACACACTCACACACACATTCATACACTACGGACACTTTAGACACGCGGATCAGCCTACCATGCATGTGTTTGGACTGGGGGAGGAAACCGGAGTACCCGGAGGAAACCCCCACAGCACGGGGAGAACATGCACACTCCGCACACACAGGGACACGGTGGGACTCGAACCCCGGACCCTGGAGATGTGAGGCGAACCTTTAATGTGGGAGGTCAAAAATAAAGAAAGAAAGAATAATGGCTTAAGGATGTAATGTGCACAATGCTTAACAGGAAGCTATAATCTTGCGTCAGCCTATCTACATTACCCTTATTTCATTAGTCAGCTGGAATTTGATAACTGTTCATCACTTTGTGTAGTTTGCACTTGTTGAATGAACCGTCTAAACACTCAATATAGAAGTGTATACAAGAATCTAGAAATGCTAAGGAGAAGTACAGTACAGACGTACGCCAATCATCAGCGCCGCCTACGAATAATTAATTACGCACGATACTGATGGGCGTGTGCCTCCTGCGTCAATTTGAATATTCATGACGCAGGGAGAGTCGCTTCCTGTTTGATAGAACCGTAAAAGTGAGTATAAAATACATCCCAGAGTCCGGCCGAGCAAGACCCGGTGTACAGAATTACTCGGGGAAAGGCTGGACTTATAAAACAACAAAAACCAAGTCTAAATGTATGATAAATATTCATAAAGAGTGGTTATGTGTGTATGAATCTTAATGAGGTGGGCGGTGCCTCCTCGCCACGCAGTGACGCTGGTAGAGTTCAGTATGTTCTGCGTTGTGCTTCAGTCGGTCGGTTGTGGTAGAGACGCACGGTGTGGAAATGTTTACTCCCCGGGATCTGGGAGACATCGAGCAGGTTTATCGAGCTCTCCTGCAGCACCAGAGTGGAGAAGGTAAGAAACTTTCACTTTCTGTATTCATAGACTTCTCACTATTTATTATGAGCAGCACTTTTCAGTTCTTTCTTTCTTTCTTTCTATCTGTCTCTCTGTCTATCTTACTATCTATCTATCTGTCTGTCTATCGTACTATCTGTCTGTCTATCTATCTATCTATCTATCTATCTATCTATCTATCTATCTATCTATCTATCTATCTATCTATCTATCTATCTATCTATCTATCTATCTGTCTGTCTATCTATCTACCTGTCTGTCTATCTTACTATCTGTCTTTCTACCTGTCTGTCTATCTTTCTATCTGTCTGTCTGTCTTTCTACCTGTCTGTCTATCTTTCTATCTGTCTGTCTGTCTTTCTACCTGTCTGTCTATCTTACTATCTGTCTATCTGTCTTTCTACCTGTCTGTCTATCTTTCTATCTGTCTGTCTATCTTTCTACCTGTCTGTCTATCTTTCTATCTGTCTGTCTGTCTATCTTTTTACCTGTAGTATCGACTTAAATGTGCTGAAACGTTCGAACAAACAAGTAAGATAGACAGACAGATAGTACGATAGACAAACAAACAAACAAACTGTAAGTACACGACCACTACAGTTCTCTCATATTAGAAGTCAGGAGTTGTTTTTATTTTGTTTTAAATGGTCTCACCCTGTTCGGTGTGTGCTTCGCTATTTGCACAGCATAATAGAAACAATAATGTTAACAATAAAAAAACATTAGGTCCCATTAGACTCAGGGTGCGTGCCGCACGTTTTTTTTTTTGCTGGCGTTTTAAAAATATCTACAGTCATGGACGAAATTATTGGCACCCCGGGAACTTTTCCAGAAAATGCACCATTTCTCCTAGAAATGTGTTGCAATGACAAATGTTTTGGTATACACATGTTTATTACCTTTAAGTGCATTAGAACAGCAGAAGAAAAAAGGGCAAATTTGACATCGTTTCCTTTTTAACGTGGAAAGTCCATCAAACGAGTTAGTTCGTGTTCTTCTGTGCTACGTTATAGTAGCTATAAACAGGCGTTTCCTCTCCTGCCTCTCTGTTTGATCCTCTCGTTAATCAGAGGATAAACTCCTGACTGTTACGCTGACACTGGAGACTCCTTCCATGAATGTTCCAGAAACGTGTCCTTACAGAAAAACGTGTCAACAGACACACGTACGTTTCTCAGATTTGTTTCTGTGGACACTTTCACAGTCAGAATCCAGACTTCCACACCGATACGGTGTAAAGAAAGGTCACCGAAACAGAAACTCACTGATTCCACTGGTAGCAAGTTATAAATGTCTCACAAAATGTTATCTTGAACCGTAAATGGATCTTAAAACCCTTAAAGATTTGACCTTAAACTATAAAATGAGGGTTTTCCTTTCAGAAAAATGGGACGAGAACCACTACCCATCGAAAGAACTTTTGAGGAACACGCTCATGCTCAATGATACTTGAATATATATTATTTTATATATATATAAAAGTACAGTTATTTACAGTAAGTATTTTCCACCTCTGCTCGCAGAGTTGTGTGTAAACATGTTAAATAGGACACGTGGTTGTTTTCCACAAAGGAAATGTAAGAAGAAAGTTGGTTATATTATTATAATCATTATGCGTGTCATTGGAGGAGAAGTGCTAAAAGCAGAACCGGTAGAACCGGACCTCCCTCGGCCCAGTCAGAACTTTGACAAACCGCCTGTTCAGGTTCAGCAGGCAGCAGAAGTGTGAAAGTGCAGCGCATCAGAATCGGATCATTCTCTTCCCATCTGCTCAAGAACATTTGACTCTTAACACCTCTACTAGGCTTTAATGTTTCATATGGATGATCATAAGCGTGCGTTTCAGAGGTTTCGGCCACTATGTCAACACGCGAGTCACTTCAACGGGCACTAAAACTGCAGTCATCACGTCCCGACTGCACATCATTCACTCGAACTTCAGAGGATTTTCCATTCTTATACCCAGGTCTGAAAGCATCGTTGAGCATATCCTGTGCACTCTGTGGGACGGAGTCCAAATCTTGTTCCCCAAAGGAAACAAAATACCCATAATACACTTACAGGTTACACTAACGGGTACTTACAGCGCTGATTGACATGACCACACAGTGAACTTGTGCATTAATACAGTGCATGCGTTAACGGTAAGTCATTAATGATTGTGTCCAGAGTGTGCAACTTCAGTCCAAAGGTTACCTCACTATACTCTTATGTGTATTCAAAGTCAGGTTACGCAGATGCTGAAGTCGATTTTCTTGATGCCTGTAGTTCATGCCTCCAAGGTTGCCAGATTATTCATGTTTCGAGCAGAAACATCGAGTTGAAAATCGAGTAGAAAGGCAAAATGGAAAATAAGTCCACCACGGCTAGTATAAAATAATGACTTACGGTGGATAATTGCTGAAATTGAGGCTGATTGGTGGGTGCCGAAATTTACACACACATGTGGCCTGGGTACAGTCTCAGACGTGTATTTTGGCATGTAGATCAGGTAACACGATCAGAGTATGTAGCTTACACTGACCTGAATTTCAATGAGAAAAAGGAGAACAGGATTGAGCTGAGTGAGAACGTTTACTTCCTGGTGTTCTTTGTTGACTAAACTGCCTCGGCCACACCCACAGTGAATGTCAGTACCCGCGTCTAACTTCTCTTTGTAATTAGTCATGTCATGTCGTGTTAGTGTTTGTATTTAAAGTCCCCCCGAAAATATCGGAACAGCGCGGTCAATCCGTCGGTTTTTCGCTACACACTGAAGATATTTGGGTCTGAGATCAGAAGATGAACATGAGACGATTCATATCTTACATCTAGACGTGTTAAATGGCTTCGAACACGGCACCCCTTTGATTTGAACCCACTCATTTTTCAAAAAATATTGGAACACGTGACCGGCAGGTGTTTCTTGCTGCCCATTGCGTGCCCTGTTAAACTGATCATTTAAAGCAACGGCCCCGAACCTTTTTTGCGCCACAGACCGGTTTAATATCAGACAATATTTTCACGGACCGGCCTTTAAGGTGTGGCGGATAAATACAACAAAATAAAATGATAGGACCGGCATAAAAACTGGGGTATTTTTAAAATCTAATAATAAACGTTAATCCAATGTGAAATCGCAACTTTATTAGCAGCGTCCTCGTAACATCCTCTCTCCCCCTAACGCTCTCTGGTCTCTATGGTAAGGTTTCAACGTATCACGTGACCGAGACAAGCGTCTTGACATGCGTCAAGAGTGAGTCGTAGAAGGATGTAACGGAGAGAATCCGCTCATTTTTCAGATCCAGATCATAAATAAAACGGAAATAATGTCAGTTATTTATTCTTTCTGTGCGGCCCGGTACCAAATGACCCACGGACCGGGGGTTGGGGACCCCTGGTTTAAAGAATGAACAGCTCTGAATGTGCGCTCTTGGTCTTGGGTTTGCTTGTGAAGACTGCATTTGTTGTTTAAAAAGGACAAACCGACACGAAGACCAGAGAGCTGTCTACGGGAGAAAAGCAAGCCATCTTGAAGCATTTTGAATTGCCTTTCCAGTACTTTCGAAGGGGAACTGTATATCCCGTGTTCATCTCGAGTGTGGGGTGGTGGTAGCTCAGCGGGTACGACGTTGGAATTCTGATCGGAAGGTCATGAGTTCAAATCCCAGCACCACTAATCTGCCACAGCTGGGCCTTTGGCAAGGCCCTTAACCCTCAACTGCCCAGTTGTATAAATGAGATAGATCGCTCTGGATAAGGGCGTCTGCCAAATGCCAGACATGTAAATCTCAAACAAAAAGGCGATATTAGTGACACACCCTCCATCAGGAAGATTCATCTGTAGTTGCATCAGTGTTGTTTAGAAATCAGACGAAGTTATGATAGAGTGGGGGCTTTAAAGTCATTGTCATCCCCGGACAACTGGGCCTATGTAACATTGCGGTATGTTATTAACGTGTCCTAAAGGCAGTGTGGCGTGTTGAACTCTTGTGCACTCTGCTTTCTTTTCTTTCTTTGGTGACATTCTGCACAGTTCAGAGAAGAAGGGCTGACCATGTGAGCGTGCATAGGTTTATGCTTGCTATTGGAGTGTGTATGTATGTCAGCATTTGCTCATTCACATATCTGCATGAATGCATATGCAGTGTGCGCGTGCATACGTTTATGCTTGCTACTGGTGTGTGTGTGTGTGTTTGCTCATTCACTTATCTGCGTGAATGCACGTGCAGCATGACTGTGTGAGCGTGCATACGTTTATGCTTGCGACCGGAGTGTGTGTGTGTGTGTTTGCTCATACACTGTTTGCGTGAATGCACGTGCAGTGTGACTGTTTGAGCGTGCACACGCATGTGCTTGCTGTAGTGTGGTATTAAGCGCGCGCGCGTGAGTGTCGGAACGTGGAACGGAAACAATTCGACAATGTATTGCACTGCGGTGACAGTGATGCAGCAGACGCACGCTCAAGTCCACGCGCTCGATGCATGACGTCAGCGTTCGGTCACGTGAGCCCACGAGACTCGCGCGGCACGTGTTTGTGAAACGAGAGGCGCTCAAACACACACACACGCACACACACACACAAAACTACGACACATTTCAAAACGAACTAACGAGTTCGGTATGAATAAAATATATATATGACTCTTTTCCTCACATAATTAATTAAACGGTTCCCTGACAGTGCGCGTGCGAAGCTGAGAGGCGACGCGCCCGCCGTTCTTTCACTCCGGCGCTCAAAGAGGCTCGCGCGCGCTGCCTCTACGCTGACCAATAGGCGTGCGGGAGCTCATTATTATTCACAAGTTATTGGACCAATCGGCGTTTGGCTTGCTTCCACACCGCGCACGGATCATGAATATGCGAAAAGATGTAAATTCCACGCCGCGGTGAACGAGCCAGCCAATCAGCGCGCGGTTCGATCGCGTTGTTGTGTTGTGTTTAAGGGCGATTTAATACACCACCTTTCGTCGGTTTAATCGTGCTTCTTATTCTCCTCACGGTGTTGAATTATGCCCGGACACACGACGGTTACTCTCGCCGTTGCTCCTAGCAACAGCAGCCCGGAAAAGCCTTTGCCTTTAGTTCTGAAGAAGATAATGGAGATCCTACCTCCTAACGTCCTCGACGACGGAGATGATGGTGAGGGTTGTTTATTTATTTATTTATTTATTTATCGAAATGCAGGTCTATGAATGACATGTGTGGTGTCCAGTAGCAGGATCCAGGCTAGTCATACAGCATGGGGTCTCAGAAGATGAGCAGAGAAGTGAAGAAGCCTGCTGGAGCTCATGTCTGGGTTTGATCCATGTATTAACCTTCAAACAACTTCAGCATACTAGACCAGGAGCAATCTGGGAAACGGTTTTAGAGAGAGAGAGAGAGAGAGAGAGAGAGAGAACCTCATTCCATAACGTAACCCCAACAACAACAAGTTCTCCAGTTTTGCTTTCGTTTTAGACCTTACAGTAAATTATCCTCCGTCTAGCACGATCTCCACCTCCTCTCCATCCTAAACCCCAGCCAGATTTGAACTTCAGTGCTGTTGCCCCCATTCCTCTAGAACCGTACCTCCACACGGGCACGGTGTGTGTTCCTTCTGTCTGTAGAAATATTACATTATATACACACGGGGCAAAAAATAAACTCCCATGTATCACATTACTTGAACCTTGTTCCCAGGGTTGCCAAGTCTCTCTCAACTACATCTAATAATAAGAATAATATGAATATAAATGAGTAATGCACCCGAAGCGTGGGGGAACAGGTCGACGGTGGTCTGGGGGTCAGGAATAAATAATGAACACTGTAATAGTTGGCAAGTCGCCGTGATGTAAGGGGAACAACACACGGAAAATATATACGAAAATATTCCGCACGGTGTAATTCCTTATTCATCATCCCCCTGTGTCCCCTCACAGTTTCTTCCAAGGTTGCCTGGCGTTACGATGGTATATCAGGAAGACCGACACATCGAACGGACGGTCTCGAGTCCTGTTGTCCTTGTATAATTTAGTCTGTATGTAATAATAAAAATAATAATGGCGTCCAAGTTGTTTAATTTTGTAAAAAAAAAAAAAAATCCATAAAAGGAGTAGTTTTAATTATTATAAGCCTAGTCATTGTGGAAGTCGGTAAAGCACACGTACTATCACCGATAGAAGACTTCCTCGCTCTTTGTCCATCGCAGAGATAGAGAAGGAGAAGCTGAGCTCCATCGGAGATGGGGAGTCTTGCGGAGATGGAGGCGGCGGCGGCGGTGGAGGAGGTGGAGGAGGCGGAGGATCCGGGGGAGCGGGCGGAGTTTCGGCCTCGCTCACACCCACGATTTGGGACAAGACCATCCCGTATGACGGCGAGAACTTCCACCTGGAGTACATGGACCTGGACGAGTTCCTGCTGGAGAACCAAATTCCTGCAGCTCTGGAGGAGGAGCTGCACAAGAGCCTGGAGCAGGAGGCCCAGGGTTCCCCCGCAGTCCCGGAAGTCTCGGCGGCCGTCCCACAGGTGCCTGGGGAAACGGAAAAGGCTGCAGAAGTGCAGAAGATAAAAGGGGAGGACGAGGGGGGTGTGAGTGAAATAGCTGAGGTGATGGAGAATGCTACAGGTGAACACACACACACACACACACACACACACACACACAAAAGAACTCAATAATTTTTATAATAATAATTCAAATGGTTCTCCCCCTCCAGAGCCAGAAGGTAAGCCAGAGCGCGCCACTCCGTCTCCAGTCGACTCGGAGGAGATCGAGGTGAGTGTGAATTTCCAGCCAGACCCAGCGGACCTGGTGCTGTCCAGCATTCCGGGAGGAGAGCTGTTCAACCCGCGCAAACACCGCTTCACCGAGGACGAGCTCAAACCGCAGCCCATGATCAAGAAGGCCAAGAAGGTGTTCATTCCCGAAGACGCCAAGGTCAGACCCTGCGTGTTTCCTGCTGTTTCTTTTCCAACACGGGTCAGTGTCACGATGCACGCTCTAAAATGGAGAACCTTTCTAGCCGGTTCATTAAGGCTAACACCAAGCTCTGAAACGTACAGCGAATGCTTTGCTTTTCTCCCGTAGACAGCTCTCTGTCCTTCATGTTGGTTTGTCCTTTTTTTAACAACAATGCAGGCCAAACCTAGGATTAGTAAACATTCAGAGCTGTTCATCCTTTAAACAATCAGTATAACAGTGCACGCCCGGGCAGCAAGAAACACCTGCCAGTCACGGGGAGAGAAAAAAAACTTTTGAATTTTTTTTTTTATTTATCTCACGCCTGCGCAGGATGGTAGTTTTTGGAACACATGTTTGAATGTGTGTGTGTGTGCTGTTTACGCTGAGCATCGGACAGATGGCGGTTGTTTTGTTTGGCTCTCGTTCCCTGGAGAACGACGCGAGCTGTTTTTCAGCTTCCTGGTGGTCCTAAACTTCCCGGACGGTCGTGACGGAGTCGAGGTCGAAAGTCGTCCGTATCCGTGTTTATTCACGGGCTCTGTTTTTAGTCGAGGCTCGTACTCGTACAAACCCCGACGCCGACGTGAACCTGACTCGTAAATGAAACGACGCGCCCAGAGGTCATTTCCGCTCACTGCGGCATCCCTCTTCCGTATGTTTTTCCGTGTCTCTCGTAACGTGCGAGAGAGACAGAGAGATTTCACGCCTCTCTTTTCAGCTCAGTAACCCCTCATTCGTGTATTTTTATATATATATATATATATATTTTCCCCTTCAGGATGAGAGATACTGGTCGAGGAGGAAGAAGAACAACATGGCGGCGAAGCGTTCGCGGGACGCGCGGCGTCTAAAGGAGAACCAGATCGCCGTGCGCGCCAATTTCCTGGAGCGGGAAAACGCGGCGCTGCGTCAGGAAGTGGCCGAGCTCAGGAAGACCTGCAGCCGCTGCAAGAAGATCATGGCTCTCTATGAGGCCAAGTACGGCCCTCTGTAAGCACAGACACACGGCAGGTTCGTCGACACCCGTCACGATCAACTCTCCGTCAAAAATATTCACACAGGGATCATGGGTAAATTCAGGAAAAGTGGCAGTGGAAGTGGTCTACAAGTCTACGCTTGTAGACCGTAAGGTGAGGAAGTATCGAACGGAAACGAGCTTCCACTGGACTTGTTCCTCATATTTTCTTCAATAGGAATTATACAGGTTATGGATCTTTACAGGATCACCCCGGGGGTACTTCTCATTTCTCTTCCTCACATGGGAGTCAGAGTTTGTCGCTTGGCTGCTAGAGTATCGAAGGGATCCACACACACACACAAACACACACACACACACACACACATCAAGTTATATTACTACACGCTCTAACATCCGACTCATCACCTGACTTCTCATAAGATCAGAGACTTTTATTAGATCATCTTTATATTATAGCGCTTACTGTTTTGTTTGTTGGTTTTGTTTTATCGGAGGGGAGTAGGTGGAGCAGTTATACCACAGGTTACAGCATGCTTAGAGCAGAAACGAAACGAATGGAGATTTGAGATCGTAAACGATACCGAAGTTCTTTTCATGCAGTGTTTTTTTTGGGGATTTTTTTGGAAAGAGACACGGTGACAGCGTCGGGTTTTCGTCTTGCTAACTAAGAGTCCCGCCCCGTAGCGGAGCAGCACCGAAGCTCTCCCTGACCGTTTCACGCCGGGTCACATATAACACAAACGGAACGACAGGAATT